GTCTCATTCTGAACGACCACGGGCTTCACATGATCAGCGAATGAAGCCGCACGCAGGAAATTTGGAGGCTCCTACACCATTCATAAGCATATATTCATGTGCATTTGTTCAACATTTTATCCAATATGTCAATTATTGTTTCTTTTATAACATTTTGTAAAAGAGTTTAACATGATTTAAAATTCAATGAAATATGGATGTGAAGATCTTACATCGGGAAGATCAGGGATCTGAATGATCGATTTGAAAAACTCCATCCCTCTCGCTCTCTCGAAAAACTGCGTCAAACTGTGGAGGACAAAGACAGACCAAAAACAACTCAACGCAGCAGAAATTTCATGAAGTCCATTTTTATGTTTTGCTAATTGAAGTGAATAAAAGCATCTGTCAAATTAATAAATGTAAATGCACTGCAAATAAATGCCACTCTTCTGAACTGCCTATTCATCAAAGAATCCTAAAATAAATGTATCACAGTTTCCATGAAAATATTAAGCAGCTAGACTGTTTTCAACAATGATAATAATAAGAAATGTTTCTTGAGAATCAAATCAGCATATCAGAATGATTTCTGAAGGATCATGTGACACTGAAGACTGGAGTAATGATGCTGAAAATTCAGCTTTGCATCACAGAAATAAATTAGATTTTAAAGTGCATTCAAATAGAAAACAGTGTTTTTAAATTGTAATAATATGTCAATCAATATTTCTATTTTTACTGTATTTTTAATAAAATAAATGAAAAAATGGTGAGCATAAGACACTTCTTCCAAAAACCCCAAATGATTCATCAGTAGTGTATATATTATTGTGTGTATAGTGTGATATTATTAATATTATTATTTTTATAAATCAACAACGTCGTTATGATTAGGCTGATACTGGAAGCTGATAATATCAGGGCATTTTTCACTAGAATCATTTAGGCCTGGTTTCACAGACAGGGCTTATATTAAGCCAGGATTAGGCCATAGTTCAATTAAGACATTTAAGTAATTTTTATAAACATGCCTTAGAAAATAAACATTACTAGTGTGCATCTTGACACAAAAAAGGGCACTGGCATATTTTAAGATCAATCAGTGCAAGTTGAAACTGCTCAGACTTACATTTTAGTCTGGGACTATAGGCTTAAGCCTTGTCTGTGAAACCGGGGGTTAAAGTACTAAACATTTGACCATCCTTTCTTCTGTACATTATGATGTTTTGATACCTGAATTCACTTGTAAATTTCTAGATTGGAGTTTTGGCATGAAGGATGTTTATTTCAATAAATACATGAATAAATATATATTGGTCAGTGGCAATAACAAAAATTAAATTTCCATATCGGTGCATTTTTACACAATACTGCAGACCACTGTTACCCGTTGAACTGCTCACGGAATCGTTCCCTGTGTCCTAACAGAGAGTCCACCGGTGTTCCTGTGACACAGATGCATAGCGCTGATGAGCTCAATGAAAAAGATGCATAAAAATAAAGAAAGCAGCATATAAACAGCAAGACTCACGGCTGTGTAGCTTGAACAAGAGCTTGACCAGGAAATGGTAGAGCGGACCGCAGTCTTGGATGACGAGAACCAGCGGTGCCAGACGGCACTGACCCACTGGAGTGGTAGAGCTGGTGGAGCTGGACTCCATCTGCCGGAAAACTGCATGTAAAAAGTAAAAAAATATATATTTTACACACACTACCGTCTCTTCTGCTCACCAAGGCTGCATTTATTCAATCAAAAATACAGTAAAAACTGAAATATTGTGAAATATTATTACAATTTAAAATAACTGTTTTCTATTGTAATATATTTTAATATAATTTATTCCTGTGATTTTCCAGCATCATTACTCCAGTCTTCAGTGTCACATGATCCTTCAGAAATCATTCTAATATGCTGATTTGCTGCTCAAGAAACATTTCTTATTATTATCAATGTTGAAAACAGTTGTGCCGCTTCATATTTTTTGTGCAATTCATGATACATTTTTTCAGGATTGCTTGACGTGTAGAAAGGTAAAAGAAAAACTGCATTTGAAATGGAAATCTTTTGTAACTTTATAAATGTCTTTATTGTCACTTTTGGTCAATTTACTGTGTAACTGATGAATTAAAGCATTAAAAGCATTTATTCGGGTTAGATTAAAAACAAAAACATGACAAAACATTACGTTTACCTGTTTCTTGCAGCTTTAGAGCTGCTTCCGTGTACTCCAGAACCTCACCTGTCATGTCAAACCTGTATAAATAACAATCATAACTAAGTATTAATTAATTTTCATTAATGGATTATTCAAGCTCACTAAAATCATTAGCAATGTACTTACACTGTGTTGATATCAATAGCGATGGCTTTGTCAAGGACTTGTTCAGGAGTTTCAAGGTTTGGTGGGATTTCCAGATGCTGTGGTGGAAACAAGATAAATACACACACACACAGACACACATATATATATATATATATATAAACTCAAATGTCTTTGAAGGAAGGATTAAACTTACCTTTAAATGGAAATCAATTTTAATACACAGCAGCTTGGCATACAGTGCAACAATATGTCCATATCTATCATGCAGATTCCCCTAAGACACAGCAAACACATACAACATTTAAATTGAAAGATTCACATGAAAGATTAATGTGATGATGTAAATGACTTGCTCAACAGAAAAACACCAGATCATTTAGACACTCACCCATAATGTTCCCATCTGTCTAATGCTTGCGATGTGACCTCTGCTGTCTCGTAAGGTCTACAAGAAAGACATAGAATTACATTTGTAGGGTCATTTTAGCCAAATAAAGTCAAACGAAAGTCATTTTCATCAGATGATATTGTGGTAGATGAGACCTACGTTAGGATGGCCGTCTCGTAGCAGTTTGTGCACCATGTGGCAGAACTTCCAGCTGAGGATGGCGTTACTGGACAGCGGCAGACTCACGGCATGAGACCAGAACGTGACGGCACCGCCTTCCTTATGTGTGCCTAAAATGATATCTGTGCAAAAGTTAAGGACAATGTACAAGTCCAGATGATATATAGCAAAGATGATACACAGCATTAGCTGTATAGCAAATTTCAAATACCTGAATTTTTTTATTGTGTCTCAAAATGCAACTATATTATCACCCAGCTCTTTATATAATGGTGGAAATATATAACGAACTTTATCCATATACATACAGTACACTCGCATTAAGCTAAATACAATATAGCAAATCTCAATTGCTTGAGTGTTTAGATTGCTAAACTATATCATCTCCCAGCTAAATGTGACTATAAGGCATGAAGATATTATAAACATTAACATAATGATTTTTTGTAAAGTTGCTTTGAAACAGTGTGTATTGTGAAAAGCACTACACAACTAAATTTGACTGAAAAAGCATGGGCATCTGTGTGTAAGCCCACTACAACACACAAATAAATATGAACATGACTATGAACATAAGAAATGCTGTATTAAACCAATACTAAAGGATACTGCGTCCATATTTCTCTTTGATAGGGGCCTCAGCGCTGGTGATGGATTTGGTGATGCTTTGAAGCTGTAAAGCAGATGAAATGGAGATTTGATATAACATCATTGATTAAACACAATAAACGATGCACACATGTAATGTAAATGAATATGACACAGTTGCATGGCACATGTCCAAAAAAAGGTTATGGTATTAAAATGAATGTTATATCAGGCCCAAATGGTACATATGGTACCTGTGGTACATACCCAGAAGCATTATATTACCGTGGCACATGTCAAAAAACATGGCATTATAATGGCACATGTCGAAAAAAACAAGGTATGCAAATGAAACTGTGCATTAAAATATAATGGCGATTATTGTTAGGCGACACATGACGTATAATAATTTAAATCACGCGGGGATTCGAAGCGACCGAATAAGAGCGTAAAACAATTTATCAGGTGTTTTCTGTCATATTACCTTATTTTATCACTGAACGAAAAAGGAAAACGCCAAAGAAATATTTTTGGTTAAAGTATCATTAACAAAACGCACTTTCAAAAAAACAAACAAAAAAACATTAAGAATCAAATACTTGTTGAATGAAGTAAATATGTAAATCTCACCTGAAGTTTGACGAATTGCTCCTTTTCCGCAGCTAAAGCCTTTTCAGATTTATCCGTTTTCTCGTTTTTCTTCGATTCGGTTTTCTTTGAGGCCATGTTTAACCCCTTCCTCAGATGAAACCAGATGTACAAATGATCGTTTGAGTCCCTCCACACACACACACACACACACACACACACACCTGAGATCTACCTGTCACGTCAACGAGTCACACAGGTGAGTTTCCTCACACGCGCTCCATCAACAGCGTTTACTCAATCTTAAACTCTTTCAGTCAAAATAAAATAAAATAAATTTGTTTTTAAATCTGTAAAAAAATCCCAACTACTACAAGTAAGCTACTTATTTGTATTATTTTTTATATTTATATATATAAATAAATAAATATATATATATATATACACACACACACAAATTAACACTAAAATGAGGAAGTCACTCAAAACCACCATTTAAAAGAAAAACGTTAATGACAGCATGTAACAACCTTTATTGTTCTTTTAAATGTCCTGAGATTAGGCAAATATACTGCAATTCAGTGGCTTTTGAAAAGGCTGATGGCTCCTTGTCCTTTCTGTGGGAACAAGACTGCATTTCGGATGTAAAACATGATGATCCAGGCAAGAGCCACATCACAGTTCATTATCTTTGAAACCAAACAGGTTAGATGACAGTGAACCTGGAATGGCAAAAAACAACCAGCACCATTATGTCATCTTGTAGGACAGGTTTAACACTTGAAGAAAGAAGTTTATAAATAACACCAGTCTTTACATTGGTCAAAGTTAGTGCTGTAGTGCTCCTGTAGGATTAATCATTAATGCTTATTTTTGTACACATATAATAAAAATAGTGTTTGATAAAAAAATATATATATTGAATAATATCTGTAAAAACAAAACAAAAAAACTACTTGTTATCTTTACAAAACTCCTCTTTGGTTGCAAAAAACTGATTTATTTTTTTAGAAGCAGTGAGAGAAGATGGTAGTAAACGGGGATTCGCTGCTTCTCGTGGCTTTATGGACCACATTACTTGCTTCCAGGTTGCAAACGTGGGCTGCTTTCGATCTGGGAGTCACTTTACTTTAGGACAATAAGAAGAAAATGCCATTTAGTTGCAGTTTCACCTTGAAGCATCATTTATACTATGCATTAAACTGTTATGCAAATGAGTTTTGTGATGTAATAAGTACCCGGCGTGTTTGGCTATGGGTGGAGGTTTGGGAGTGGCTGCCGTTGCCATGGTTACTTTGGAGGTGACAACCGGCAACGCAGTTCGTTGGGCTCTGAGGTTTTGTCGGGCTGACAGATTTCTTGGTAGAACTTTCCAAACTTGCCACCATTTCCTGAGACTCAGCCAGCAGACGCTGTAACCGTGTTGTGGATGAGCTGTAGCCCTCCTGCATGAGATGCAAACATACATGCAATAAAGTTAGAGGTTGATAACTCGCAGGGGTTAAATTGGCCCCCCACCCCACAAAACAGATCCCAATTTAACCTCCCTGATAACACCTTCATTCAAATATGCATAAAACAGGCATTTCAATAATACTATTAAAATAATACAGTAAAAATTTGTATTTAATAATAATAATATTAATATTATTATTAATCAAAATACTACTTGTTATTTTATTATTGAATTTATAAAAAAATTAAATCAATAAAGAAATATATTACTATTGCAATGATACTATTGTACTGTACAAAATAAGTATTTAATAATAATAAATATTTTTATTATTATTAAAACACTGTTTATTTGATTATTATTTCAATTCTAAAAAGGAAATGAATAAAGATACATTACTAATGCAATAATACAATTGTACTGTACAAATTGAGTATTTCATTATAATAATAATTAAAATGATATTTTTTATTATTATTTAAATGATAAAAAATAAATCAATAGAGAAATATTTTAATATTGCAATAGTACTATTGTACTGTAAAAATTAGTATTTAATATAATTATCCTCCTCGTCATTATTTTACAGAAAAAATAAATGCAATTCATTTTATTTTTATGCAATTTGTATTTGAAAATGCTGCAATTTACACAATTCACAAGGGTCATACTTTTCAGTTGGAAAATACAGAAAACTGTATAAATAGAGAAAAATCACATCCCTGATACAAATACATGTAAAGTGTTGAGCTACCTCATTGCCGTGGCGAGCTACATCATTGGCACAGAGTTCAATGCTTAGCGTAGAATCGGGTAAACAGACAGAGCTCCGCCTACTTCTGTGAGAGGGGGAGGGGCAATCCAGATGAAGAAGGCTCAGATCTGCCGCACTAGTTAATGAAGAGAAAGTCACAGTTATCATCAGGCCAACAAAATTAGCATTGTTTTTTGCAGGCTCAATCTTAAAACATGCCTACATAAAAAATGCAATATTAAGTGCAATGGATTTTATTATGGTAGAACATCTTAAAACTGAGCTCTCCTTTAATAAACCACTAAAAAAAGGAAATTTATTTAAAATATATACAGGTGCATCTCAATAAATTAGAATGTCGTGGAAATAGCATCGTCAAGGTGTGGATCTGATTCCCAGGGAATTCTTGAACTGATAAAATATAATTGAATACAATGTAAGTCGCTTTGGATAAAAGCATTTGCCACATGCATAAATGCAAAGGCTTCTATCTAAATAAGGGGGGAAACTTTGCTTTCTGATTCATTGAGGTTTTTGTACAAACCTATGATTACAACCTAACTCGCAAGATGTTTTAATAAAGCTAGAGAATCCTACCAAGAGAATCTTGGACTGATATCCACATCGACTACACAGACAGGAGTTCCTGTCTCTGAATCATAGTCAATGACAGCCATTAAATCCACGTCAGCTCTAGTGTCAGAATACACTGCCTGACTCTGTGGATCGTCTGATGGGCTGTCAGCGTTATCACAGCAGAGAGACTGGGATGACAACTCAACACAGTTGTTCGCTCTTTCCTTCATTTCCATCTTGGGTGATTCTTGTTCATTGATGTCACACTGGCTAGTTGCACAGCTGTTTGTAATGTTGGCGCCTGAGCAACCTTCCTCTACGGCTGACTGTTCTGCGACTTCATGGTTTGTGGCACTCAAAGCTGCGCCAAAGTCATGCTCAGAGTCAGTCTGCGTTTCCATTTCAACACAAGGATGCCGTGTTAAACCCGATGGGGCTTTTCGCCTTTTGCTGTGGCACAGGGTGGATATTAGCCCTGTTTCTAGTTCTGTCCCTTCTTGATGATCACTGTATTCTAGCACATGACTGTCTCCTAAACCAGAATCAGCCCTACGGACACAATAACACTCATAACTCAAGATGTCTAGACCAGGGTTATTATCGTCAACTAAAGCTGAAATAAACTAAAAAAAAAAAAAAAAGAAATACTGCTTTGTTAAATAACTGAAATAAGCTGAAGTACTAAAGTTACTAACTAGCAATGAATACTAACTAAAACTGAAATAAAAATAAATTAAACCTATATAGTAATATAAAAAGAAAATAACTGAAAATATTAACAATAAAAGCTAATTTAAAATAAAAATTTCTAACTGGAAATGAAGAAAAACTAAAACTGAAATAACAATATATAAAACCTAAATGTAAAATTTTTACAATATGACTAAAAACACTAAATAAATTACTAAAAATAAACTAAAAGGAAAATGAAAACTGAACATATAAAATATAAAAATAAAAACTAATTCAAAATACTAACTGGAAATGAATAAAAACTAACACTGAAATAAAAATATGTTAAACTTAAATAGTAATATTTTTAAAAAGATATTAAAATGACAGAAGTACTGTATCAAAATTTCTATATATAACAACATTACTAAAAATTAAAACTAAAATTAAAATAAAAGATAACTCAATATATTAATAAAAACTATAATAGTAAAAAAAATATATATATAATAATAATAATAATAAAATAACACTGGTCTGGACAGAAGTAAATCCAGTGGCTGGATATAAAACACTGCACATTGTAGATACCCACCTCTCCCGTGACCTTTGACCCTCATGATGTCGGAGTGACTCTCTGGCGCTCTCCAAGTTCAACTTTAGCAGCTGAAGGTCATTCTGTTGGTTTTCACACACCTGTCACAAACATATGCATATATCATAACGCTATCAATCATCTATTATGTGTTGACTTGGTGTGAAGCAAGTCCTAACCAATCAGAACATATCTGATGTCTTAAGTACAGTAATGTGGACCAGGATTATTGAGAAATATGAAATGTCACATTATAAGTACTTAAAATAAGAAAATGATTCATATTTTAATATTTAAAAAAAGCAAAAAGCATAAAATAAATGTTTGTTACTTGAAATAAAATAAACTTTAACTGTTTTATAATATATATACTTATTTTATTTCAGCTAATTGCCAAGGCAATTTCTCATTTTCTTGAAGTACTAAAATAAATCAAATAAAACTAATTATAAAAATAAATAAATAAAAATGACAAAAATACACAACAAAATTATTTTTAATTTTTTTTATTAATTAATTAAAATTAAACTGTAAATATAAAAACTATAATAGCATCTCAATAATACTAAAGTAGCACTGGGTTATAGCCTGTGGAGCTGTTTTAGAAGAGATCACGACCATGTCATGGAAAAGGAATGCAGGAAGTCTTACAAGCATGCTGAAAAACCGGAAAAACTGCACCGGAAGAACAAATGGAAAGGACAGAGATTTCTAAAAATGAACGCTGGCTGGCATTGGATGATGTAAAGAGAGGGAGTTTTGAAAGACAGTACCTGCCGCAGACAGAGCAGCTCAGATTCGGCTCGAGCTTGTTTTGATCGGGAAAGTTCAAGTAATTCATCCCTCCAGCTTTTATCTTCATCTGAGCAACAGACATGGCAACCTCCATTAATTTAACAAAGCATAAACGCTCATGAAAAGACTATTAAATATGTTTTCTACACCAATCAGTGTTTAAGCATCACTGCTGTTTATTATCTCTAGTGTTCTATTGGCAGTTTTTAACAGATGCAGTCTATTGCTCTATTGTTCTGCAATGTTTCTATAGATGTTTCTGTGTCTGAAGCATGTCTGTGATGCTGTTTAGGCAGGTCACTAGCGTTTGAAACACAGCCGATATTACACTATGAAACATGCAGTAAGTGGCATACTCATCATCTGAAGTTCAACAGCAGTGATGTCTTTCTTCAACAGCTGGTTTTCCTGCTTTAAGCGGATGAGCTCTTCTCTCTGGCTGTTGTTCTCAATGGTTTTCTCCTGAAGCTCGGCTGCAAAAAAATGTAATATGCATCCTGATGAATCCAGCATGAATTCATTCATACTACAAACATTAATACAATTAAGAATGTACTTTGTTTAACAGTCGCGAAGAAAGTTTCAAACCAAATGAAGTACCTACTATACAGTATTTGATTTCGGACGCAATGAGATTGTGAAATAAAACGGTCTACCTTTCAGTTGTGTGTTTTCGTGTCTGCTCTCTCTGAAACAGTGTTTGTGTTCCTCCATTTCTCGCAGCGTTTTGCTCTCACGTGTTCGCAGCTCTTCGAGTGATTTCTCTTGTTCACACAGACGACCGGACAGCTCTAAAATGTGATTGGTGGCCTCAATCACATCTTTATCCTGATAAAGAAAAACAAGCACTTACATTAATGTGTCTGAATAAACAGGATATAATATAATGTGCATGAGTGTGAGTCTCTGCTACCTTCAGTTTAAGCATGGAGCTGAGCTCCTCCTCGCGCACCTGCAGCTGCCCCACCTGTGATGACAGCATCATGACCGTGGAGTTCAGACTCTGGTTCCTCTCCTATGAATAAACAAAATATATTATACATTATAATAAAACTTATGGAGTATTTTTATCATAAGATAAAGAAAATGGACAAGAAATGATGTGGGGAGATGGAGGAATGGGAACAGGATATGGGCCAGAATTTCAGACCTAAAAACAGATTTGACTTCACCTCCAAGTCCTGCTCATGTCTGGAGGTGTTCATCTGTCTGTGGCTCAGCTCGTGTAGCTGGTGTTGGGTGCTGTTGAGCTCTCTGTACACGTCTTTCTCTCTCATTTCGGCCACATTCGTCCGCTTACTGAGAGCTCTGATCACCTCATTACGCTTCTCCAGCTCATCTAAGGAAACATGAGCATTCAAATACATTACCATTGCCATTCAAAAGTTTAGGATCAGTAAGACTTTTTTTAATACTTTTAATCAGCAAGGATGAATAAAATTAACCGTTAACGTCCACAAAAATATTAACACAACTGTTTTCAATATTGGTAATAATAAGAAATGTTTCTTGAGCAGCTGAAGGATCATGTGACACTGTAGACTGCAGTAATGATGCTGAAAATTCAGCTTTGCATCACAGGAATAAATTACATTTTAAAATATATACAAATAGAAAACAGTTATTTGAAATTATAATAATATTTCACAATTTTACTGTTTTTACTGTATTTTTGATCAAATAAATGCAGCCTTGGTGAGCAGAAGAGACTGTAGATCTAATTACTTTTAGATTCAAGGAAAACTGAATTTCCTGCAATTTTGAATCAGAAGAGTTCACAGCTCAAAATGATCCAGTCCACTTTTTAAAACTTATTCATTTATTGAAGCTGCAAACATAGAGCAATGTTATGAAATTACAGCAGTACACTTTAAGTGTTTACATTTATGGGGGAATACAGAATTCTTAAAGGTATAGTAGCAAAAATAACCTAATTCTAAGGGACAGAAAAAGAATGGAAATTGGTCATTTAAAACTAAATTATATTGCTTTGGTGTAGGTTTATCAGGGAACTTCACTCTGGAGAAATTGAATTAGCTTTTATTTTTATATTTTCAGTTTTCATTTTAGTTAAGCATATTAAGTTTACATTTTAGTAATTCTGTTATGTGTTTTTGTAATTTTTATTATTTAATAATTACTATTTAGGTTTAATTTATTTTTATTTCAGTTTTTATTTAATTCAAGTTAGTACTTTAGTGCTTCAACAAACTTATTTCAGTTAGTTTTTCATGTTTTGCTTTATTTCAATGAACACAAATGCTTTTAATAGTTTTAGTTAACCCTGCTCTGGAGTCACTCTCACCCTCCAGTCGGGCACATCTCTGTTCCAGGATCAGTACTCTCTGACGGTCCTGTTCCCAGGATAGCAGCTGCTTGTGATGGGCTGCTGCCATAGTATTGAGCTCCTGGTCACGGTCCTTCAGTTCTGCTATGAGAAGCTGCAGCTCCAGACGCTGCCTCTGGATAGTGGAGACCTCCAATCCATTAACTGGAGTCTAGTAACATCACAAAAATGGGCCAATACTTAGTTTACAAAAGCACAAACTCATCCAAGAGTTACCATGGCATTCACAGTTTTAAAGGAATAGTTAAACCAAAAATGAAAATTTGCTGCAAATGTTTATTACAAACACGCAGCTTTTCTCTTCACAAGATGTTAACTGATGGACTGGAGTGGTGTGGGTTACTTGTGGATTATTGTGATGTTTTTATCATCTGTTTGAACTCTCATTCTGACGGCACCCATTCACTACAGAGGATCCATTGATGAGCAAGTGATGGGAAGGAACGGGTTCCTGGCTCCACCATGGCCTTCATAAAATATATTAATTATCATTTTGCATGATTATTGATCAAGTTATTAATCGTATTTAACCTCATAGATTGTTAATTGAATAAAATTATTATTTACCACATACTAGTAATAGTCACTAAGATGAACCATGTTATTGGAATGTGTTTTTCTCTTGTTCGTGAGAAGCTTCTTCCTTTGCTAACTCCCTTTTACTCCTCTCAGGTTAAAGGTCCTTGTATACAGTATTTCACAGAAGTGAGTACACCCCTCACATTTTTGTAAATATTTTATTATATCTTTTCATGTGACAACACTGAAGAAATGACACTTTGCTACAATGTAGATGCACAAGAAAGCCCGCAAACAGTTTACTGAAGACAAGCAGACTAAGGACATGGATTACTGGAACCATGTCCTGTGGTCTGATGAGACCAAGATAAACTTATTTGGTTAAGATGGTGTCAAGCGTGTGTGGCGGCAACCAGGTGACAAGTGTACAAAGTACAAGACAAGTGTACAAAGACAAGTGTGTCTTGCCTATAGTCAAGCATGGTGGTCGGAGTGTCATGGTCTGGGGCTGCATGAGTGCTGCCGGCACTGGGGAGCTACAGTTCATTGAGGGAACCATGAATGCCAACATGTACTGTGACATACTAAAGCAGAGCATGATCCATAGTTGTATTCCAACATGATAACGACCCCAAACACACCTCCAAGACGACCACTGCCTTGCTAAAGAAGCTGAGGGTAAAGGTGATGGATTGGCCAAGCATGGGCATCCTCAAACGGAAGGTGGAGGAGCGCAATACAAAACAATACACTTTCAAAGTGAAATTAGTATTCAATGTTTAAAGAGAGAATGTGAAATTTACAATAAAAGTGTGTGTGTGTGTGTGTGTGGGGGGGGCCTTACTTTTTAGTTATTTTTAAGGATTATTTTTAGAAGATTAGATATCAATCAGAGTTCTAGCCACTACTCATCTTTATTACATCTATTTTCCATATTTTAGGACCATCATAAACTCATCCTAAGTATGAACTAACACAAATGGAATGGAATTATACAGTGACTAAAAATGTCTACCAAATAAATACTATCATATTATTTATAAAATAATAAATACTATCATACTGTACATAAAACAATTAAAAAACAACCTACCAACCTTTTTTACAGGAGTGCTGTGCCAGGGCTCCACTGGAGATCCTGTAAATTAATAAATTAATGCAACGAATAATCATCGTGTTTTAAATTTGAGGAGTGTCTAATATTTATTCATATTTGCATGATGTTCATCACCTTTTGATATCAAAAAACTTCCAGGAGTTTTAGAGTTCCTTCTTTCCTTGAACCCCTCCATCTCATCTCACAAATGTCTGGACTAGCAGACAAGATTTCATATTACATCTAACTTCATTTTAAATGAACAAAACAGCAGCGTGAACATCATAGCGATGCACAATATCAATATCTTGTTCTCGGTGCCTGATTATGACACAGTTTAGTTTGGTTGTTTTAAAAGATGCATTATTTAAGTGTAAACAAGACACTCGGGGTAAAAAAACCCCCAACAACAATAAATGCAATATAAACACCCTAACTCCTAATCCAAATTACGATTAACTTAAAAAAACTATTTAAATACAAATTTTAAATTCACAGTCATTGTGAAATGCATGTGACAAGAAGCGGGTGATTATTTTCGGAATTCTCACAAACGGCATGTTGTGATCCGCGCTTAACGGGCTGTCCAACGCGATGCCTGGTTTAAAAGATTCGTTCAAAATCACCTTATTCATATTAGTTTCATTAAAACGCATCAAATGTTTTATATAAAAACCATCTTATATAAATTCAAATTGTTAATTCAATATTACTTGAAAATCTTTCATCGCGAAGTACGTACGTAATACGGCAGCGGCGTTAAACACCGTTGTTGCTCTACCTCAGAGAGGCGTTGTCAGGACCCAAAGCCAAATCAGGCAGTGAATGTGTGCTGACTGCTGAGCAATAGAGGAACTCTTTCACCCTTTAACGAACATCCGCACGAGTTAATGTAATAATGATCAAGGTGTTACTCAAAAGCAAGTTGTACTGAGATTATATCGACGGGGTATGTATGAGCTTGAGCGCGTAGCTGCTGTAGGAGAGCTGTGATTAGCAGTGCTGGCTAATAAATGGGTGCTCACTGGTGTGGATGCATGATCATTGTGCGGAGGCTCCTCGATTCAAGTCACTGTCAGGGACTCGAAAAGACTTTTAAACTATATTTGAATGCATTTATTAGTGTTATAAGAAGAACCTTTTTTCAGACCCATTGCTTCTTATCTTAGTGTGGTGGTTAGTATCTCTAAAACACCACTAGGGTGTTGCTGGCACTTGATAATTTATGCGCTTACATGCATTTAAATGCATCTTTTGTGATTTTATGAACCAAAACAGCGTTTTGAGAGTCTAATTAATTTAAAACGATGATTAAAAATGTCCCCAAGGTTGATAAATAGCGCACAAGTGACATGTGGAAGGTCTCTCCTTTTATAATTAGATGGATAGATCTTTGGTTATGACATTTAACTTTCAATCCAACAATTTATGACTGATGTGTGGTTAGCTATTATAGGTTTTGAGTATAACCATTTTCAGACCGACCATATTTCTGTATGCTTTATGAAGGCACCATATTTGTTTTGCAATTCTTGCAAACTAAACACTTTACTCTAGGTTTGTGTGATTAATCTGTGTTGTAAATGCGAATTTTTTTCTTGCATGATAGCTTAGAATTCAAGTGTTGGTCTCTGTGCGTCAGCTGGTTGTGTTATGTTGTCAGTCTAAAATAACCCATCTGTATGATTTGTGTAGATTCATGTAATATGGCTACTACTGAGAATGCAGAGTTGGGTTCACCAGAAAATAAAGTGGATCGTGCCGACCCATTTGCAAAATACCCACTAAAAGTTCTCTATTGTGGAGGTGAGAAAATACCAAAAAATAAAAATAAAAAATCTCAATGCACTGCAAATGCTAACTGTAATATATCAATTAAAATGTAAATTAAATGTTATCGTCTTAATGGTTATTTTTGTTCACAGTCATGTAAGACTAACGTTTCTGTCGTCTTTTACTTGCAGTGTGTTCTCTGCCAGCAGAGGTGAGTACATCACATATAATGGTTCACCCAAAAATGAAAATTTGCTGAAAATTTACTAACCCTCAGGCCACCCAAGATGTAGATGAGTTTGTTTCTTTTCTAAATTTAGCAGTACATCACTTGCTCACCAATGGATCCTCTGCAGTGAGGTTAGGGTTAGCGTCCAAACAGCTGATAAAAACACCACAATAATTCACAAGTAATCCACTCCAGTCCATCAGTTAAAGTCTTGAGAAGTGAAAAACTGTGTTTGTACTAAACAGAGCCATCATTAAGGCATTTTGAACTTCAAACCTTTGCTTCAGGCTAAAATGCAAGTCCATAATAACGCTTCCTCCATTGGAAAAAGTAATCTAGTCTGAATCAGGAGATTAATATGCACAGATCAAGCACCGTTTACAATCAAAAACGGTCCTAAACATACATGTCAATGGATTTTGATGTAAGAGGGCAGTGGATGGACTTTTTCACTTTCTTCACAATTTCCAGCAAATGTTTTTTTCTGGGTGATGTATTCCTTAAATGATTACATATTATGTTGGTAGAAAGTGAATAAATATGAATTAAAATGTTTCTGCTTTGCTCTGCTAGTACTGTGAGTACATGCCTGAGCCGGCCAAATGCAAACAGTGGCTTGAGAAGAATTTTCCCGATGTGTTTGCTAAACTGACTCTTGGTAAGTCAGTTTTCTTTCATAGCAACTTTGAAGATGTCAATATCTCATATAAAGTCACGAAAAGTGCTTTTTCTTGCCATTTTAGCTTGCTTACCGTTTTATTTGTGCCTCCATAGCTTTGACTCTTGCAGGATTGTTTGATCTCTGAGTGTCTTTTCATATCTGACACTGAGACAAGCAGAATATTTGGTCTGCACCATTATGACATGCACTGCTGTATCAGTTTGTCAGTAGTTTGCTCACTGATATCACTGCTGTTGTGTAAGTACAGCACCCAAGCAGGAAACTACTGGAGGAGGAGGAGGAGGAGGAGGTGGTGGTGGTGGTGGAGAGGTGCCCGCTGCAGGAGAGGAAGAGGAGAAGAAGAAACAAAAGAGAGGTTAAACATTTTTCTTTTATATGTAACATCTATAAACAGAAACGTTTTGGAGCGGTGGTGCAGTAGTTGTGCATGTACTGCCTTCCACACCACATTCAAAACTTTTTCTGAATGATTTTCAACCAGCTTTGCATTGTTACAATGTCGGTGGTATAAACAAATGAACAATGTATTCTTTTTTTCATGTTACCTGCGCCAAGATATCCATCCAGCAATCTTTTGACAGTGCCAGGGCTTTTGTGAAAACTACAGATAATACTTCCCCCTTTTTTATCTCATGGTTCATGGTTAATCTGATCAAGCCCATTGCATTATGGCAGTTAAAGTTTTCCTACTTTCTTTTTCACCACAGCTCTTTTTTCTGTCTTTTCTAAAGCACTGTTTTTTTTTGTTTTTTTTATGTGTTTCTACTGCATAGACAACTTTTATTAAAACCTCATATTGCAATAAATCAGTAAATTATCCCTTTAACTGTCCAATTAAAACATTACAATTAATTTACAGCTAAAGAGAAGTGTATTTTGGTTTTATGTCCTTGATTATTAATATGATCTTCGTTTACAGGCTACTTTATTTTCTTGAATTTTTATGTCAAGATTAATATCAGTGTTATTTTAGTATTATTGATATATTAATATATTATTTATTAATATTTTCAATTAGCCTTTATTTTTATATTTTCAGATTCAGTTTCAGTTTTATTAATTTTCTGCTTGTCATTTTATTAGTTCCTTTTTTTTTCTTTTTTTTTATGTAGTTATATTTTTTTCAGCAATTCAGTAATTTTAGTATTTCAACCAGATAATTGCCATGGCAACTTTTTAAATGTTAATTTTTTTTAAATTTTCAAGTGTTTTAAGTTTAAGTTTTTCATCAAATATTTATATTTCTTTTTTTTTTTAATTACTGAAAATGATTTTTAGTAGCTTTAGTTTGTTACCAACAAACAACACTTATCTACTTTTTGAGTTTGTCTGCCTATAAACTTACAATAGATTATTATTTTCCCCCTTTGCAGGTGGAAGAGGTCAAATCAAACAGAAAAAGAAGACCGTCCCGCAAAAAGTCACAATAGCAAAAATCCCACGAGCTAAAAAGAAATACGTCACAAGGGTGTGTGGCCTGGCCACTTTCGGTAAGGCTGTGATTGTAGTTACAAGACTGATGTTCTGTATTTGATCTGTATTTTCACCCTGTGGTAACTTTGCTGTCATTTTGTGGTCCACATCAGACATTGATCTCAAAGAGGCTCAGAGGTTCTTTGCTCAGAAATTCTCCTGCGGTGTCTCGGTGACAGCAGAAGACGAAATCATCATTCAGGGAGACTTTACAGATGACATCATGGACGTAATCCAGGAAAAGTGGCCTGAGGTAAGCGAACATCCCAGATCCAGCTGCAAAACCCGACCAGAAGAACCTTTTTGAAGCCGTTTTTGACATATTCTCTAACCCCACAGGTGGATGACGACAGCATCGACGATCTTGGAGAGGTCAAAAAGTGAAGCCCAATATGCACTTTTACTGAAACGGATGCGACGTGACACAGCAAACCTGGCCAAATGTACACATTGACATAAAGCCCTTTTATATCTATTTTATTTACTGTATAGAATTTCCGTGGACATGGCTTCATCCTTGGGGTTTTTCAGTTCTTGATAGCTGCTTTGTGTTTTGGTTGCCAAAGGTCTGGAATGATGTGACCTTAAAAGCATTTCACACATGCAAACAATAGACTTAATAAATTTCAGTCTCATTCAACACACATTTGTTGTGTATTGTTTCTTTTATCACTGCCTCCGATGCAACACTGTGGCCTTTAGTTAGATGATTTACAGATGCATTTTGAAAGGGTAATATCTCAAAAAGCAAATCATTTACTCACCCTCATATCGCTTCAAACCCATGAATCTTTATTTCTTCTGCAAAACACAAAAAGATAATTTAATGAATATCCATTTGGGTGAATTCAATACAATGTCAGTGCAATTTTGTCTTACAATTTTGAATTACTTTAAAGTTTCATAAAGCACCAAAAATTGTCAGCAGAAATATCCATGTGGCTCTAAGTGCTCCAATCAGTTTTGGTGAAAATCTACCTATTGACACCTAGTCTCGCGTAGCCAGACTGACGGCTGAAGGTCTGGAATCCATGGCAGCTTTCACTGGCCAAGGCCCGCCCATGAGGCCGTTTGACCGACATGTCAAACAATCACATTTCGTTTAGTTTTAGCGTCACGTTTCGGGGCGTGGAAATGTCGCCACTCTAACAGACCGGTGTGCAAAACTCTCGGACGTATTTTAAAGATTCTGTGCCGCAAACTTTAAATATTTCACATACTTTTGAGAATCCAGTGTATAGTTGATCCTGATAAGCGCTCATCGTCACAGTTGTAAACACGACGGCTTTCTTCTTTTGTGAGGGGGTTTGGCGCCACAGCATCTTTGTTTCCAGGCGGAACGTTAAAGAACACAACACACACACGTCTCCCGGAAATCCTGTATAATTCAACCAATCCGATGACGACTTCGAAACTCCTGAAGTGTTTCCACTTTTGTGTGCCGTATGCATCAGACGTTCAGCCAATGGTCTGTGGGCGTGACGTCTGAGGCTGAGACTAATTGACACCATACTACAATAAAATCCCTCTCCCATGCTTCAGTCCTTACTCCAGTCCAGTAGGTGGTGGAAATGCATATTTTATGTTTGCTGTCTGCCATTAAAATGCCAGAAAAAATTTTCTACATATGTATTTCTACAAATATATATCTATTCAAAAGTTTAAATGCATCCAGAATCAAAGTTCTAACACACTCAAAATCTGCACACATACTGCGTATATATATATATATATATATACAGTGGTGTGAAAAAGTGTTGGCCCCCTTCCTGATTTCTTATTTTTTTGCATGTTTGTCACACTTTAATGTTTCAGATCATCAAACAAATTTAAATATTAGTCAAAGATAACACAAGTAAACACAACATGCAGTTTTTAAATGAAGGTTTTTATTATTAAGGGAAAACAAAATCCAAAACTACATGGCCCTGTGTGAAGAAGTGTTTGCCCCCTAAACCTAATAACTGGTTGGGCCACCCTTAGCAGCAACAACTGCAATCAAGCATTTGCGATAACTTGCAATGAGTCTGTTACAGCGCTGTGGAGGAATTTTGGTCCACTCATCTATGCAGAATTGTTGTAATTCAGCCACATTGGAGGGTTTTCGAGCATGAACATTGTGTAAGAGTTTGTTTGTTTGTTTTAATTACGCATAGCTTTAAGTGTTCTGTATCTCTTTGTTTTTTGTATTTCTGTTATTATTGTTATTGTTATTCCTGTTATTGTTTATTGAAATTTGGTGTACATCATCTTTAGACAAATAACTAACAAAATTATGAAGTTAAAAATTTGCGTACTTAAAATTACTGTATATGTTGTACAATATTGAAATTTGAAAGACGGACTTAACTGAAATTTCAAAAACTGTTCTGATCTCATGAAGATCATGAAGGATCAGCCTCCTATGCACACTTGATTATATCCAGCAAAGTTTTTTGCAGTTTAAATGTATGTCTTCCCACTAAAATCCAGAAGGGGGAGTGTCATCTTTGAAACGATGAGAGCAGGTGGATCCTACATGGTAATCATTATAGTTATGCCATTATCAATAGATGTTATAGCAGATAACAGAATAGACAAACTGTTTCAGAGAAAAACTCTGAAGTGAACAAAAGTTCATAGAGAATACAATCCTGATTTCAAAACATGATGTAAATGTTTAATCTGCACTTAATCTTCTACTTCTTTCTGTTCTCCTGCTCTGAACCTGCAGTGCTGCTTACATTTTCAGATATTATTAACATATGAACAATTTAAATTAAATTTTACTGTGGGGATTTTATATATTACTTATATCTTCATCTACCCAAAGAATGTATAGGTAACCTATATGACAATATCACTCTTGATATAGAGCAATATATGTCATATTTTACATTTCCGTATGGGTTATCATTGTGAACAAAAACTATACAACAGCTGGTGTTACTTTAATTCAGTTAAGAGTGACCACGAGCTTACACACAACCAGTTATGATAGAGCTTCTGATAAAAGGTTTAAAAAATCAGTTTCATAATCTGTATTGACTGATTAAAATGACAATGAATCAGTCATTTCTATTGGCTACAATAAAAAACCTAATCAGAGCATCCCTTCTGTAAGCTCAACAATTTAATAGAGCATCAGACTCTCATTTCACACAAACAGAAGTGAAAATACATGCACAGACAAGACAATACAATCACTGACACACTGGTTTTACAGTAAAAGCTATTTGCCCTTTGGTATAAAGGTATTATTTAGTAGGGGTTTTACTTAAAATAATAATAATAAATTTAATCACTGTTTTATTTAAGTAATTAGTAATCTGTAATGGATTTTTTGAGTAACTCACCAAACTCAGGATCTAATACAGAAGACAACCTCAGAAAACATGAAGCAAAACTTCCAGCGCCTGACAACCTGACAAAATAAAACATATTAATTAGATCTTACAATTAAATATTCCTGCTGCAAGGTTTCTTACCATGTTTTCAACAGAAGAAAATAAAGAGAAACTACAGATAGCAAAAAGTAATGGGTAAATGGCATCCAAGCCACACGTCAATGCACATTTCTGCTACATGAGTATATGTGAGGCCAAAATACAATAATACATAGAACAAGAAATCTTCAATCTTAAAACAAGAAAAAAAATCTAGTCATGCTTCAACAAAAATAGGTATTTAAGTTACATTGGTAGGTTTTAAAATAAGTGCACAGACAACTTGCTCTGTTTGAAAGAAAAGGTTCTGTGTCCGCGTTAAACAGTGACTCCTGAGGTTCCCGACTACGCCTCTTCTAAGCTTAAGACTTAAACAGCCAATAATAAATTAGGAAGAAATATTAAAGCCAATCTAAGTTAAAACTTAAATTTGGCTGATTTTCAATTGATCTTGCCCACACGTAGCCACGCCTCTGAAGCAAACATATTGAGACCAAGTCTTGGGGGGATCATTGGAATATTCAGTACTGAGACGAAACAATAAAGATCATAAATTCTCAGACTCTCTCAGCATCAGAATCATGGAAAACTCCTCAAAGTGCTGCGCTTTCGAAGCTCCCATCTTGGATGAAGTCCTACCTCTTATACTATTCGTGGAATTCATTTTTGGCCTTATGGGGAACATCCTCGCCCTCTCGATGTTCTTCTTCCACAGGGACACCTGGAAGCCCAATTCTGTTTATCTTGCCCATCTGGCTGTGGCAGATTCAGTGGTTCTTTTCTGCCTTCCTTTTAGGGCCAACTACTACCACAGGGGCAAGGACTGGGTCTATTGAGATGCTTTCTGCCGTATTTTGCTGTTTCTTTTGGCCGCCAACAGAGCTGCTGGTATATTTTTCCTCACTGCCGTCGCTAGTGGACCGACACCTGAAGATCGTCCACCCTCTCAACCGCATCAACCCAATGGGTCTGACCTATGCCCTGTGGGTCTCTGTTGGCCTGTGGGGTCTCATCATAGCCATGACTGTCTACCTCCTAACAGACAAGCATTTCTACTATCTAAACAACCACACACAGTGTGAGAGCTTCAACATATGTTTGGGGCGCAATGCATTGTCTGACTGGCACAATGCATTCTGCGCTATCCAGTTCTTTGTGCCCACCGCCATTGCTATCTATTGCCCGGCTTGTATTACGTGGCAACTGAAAAGTAAGACAGTGGACACACAGGGTAAAATCAAAAGAGCGGTGCAGTTTATATTAGCAGTTGCTCTAGTTTTCATTATATGTTTCTTCCCGAGCAATGTCTCCCGTATCGCCGTCTGGGTGTTGAAGAGCTGGTATAGCGAGTGCCAGTATTTCCGTGATGCAAATGTGGCTTTTTACACGACTGTCTGCTTTACCTACTTCAACAGTGTGCTCAATCCCATCGTCTATTATTTCTCCAGCACTGTGTTCAGTGGATCCCTCAAGAAAGTCTACATGAAACTTCTAGGAAAGAAAATGGAGAATGAGAATGATGAGAAGAACCATCGCAGTTCTATTACAGTATCAGCTAATATATCTTAAGTTAATATTCACTATGTAGTGTTGATATTATAGTTATACACTTTATAATTCATAATAATGTTTATTCAGATGTAAATGATAGCTGTTAATGTATATTCATGCAAGCATCGATTTGTAACCTTCATAAACATTTAATATGCCCTATATGCATTAATTACTTCACTAATACTTTAATAAATGACTTCAACAGCCCTCTTGCTATGTCTGATTATTTAAATGTAAAAATGAAAATATAGTAAAATTAACACTATATGGAAATACTCAATGTTTTAGATATGAACGACAACGTTTTTTGTTTAATTAAATGTGACTATAACGTTTGAATCGGTTCTCGCAGCACTCGCACGTTTGCTCGCTGTGTGTTTGGCGCAGGCGCTCTCCCGGCCCAGCGTTCACTGTAATATTTTGAGTGTGAACTGCCGAGCTTAAAAATATTATCGAGCGGCGGGAATGTCTGGCAGGTCAGTGCGCGCGGAGACCCGGAGCAGAGCCAAAGATGACATCAAACGCGTTATGGCCGCTATTGATAAAGTTCGAAAATGGTAAGATCGCGGGGAAAAGCCCTGTGTTTGTTCCACCGGAGAGAAAAAAATGCGCTTGTGGGGGAGGAGAGAGAAAGAACAAACGAGAAGGACAGAGAGTGAAATTATAAGGGTAATTTTTGAGCGCGATTTCCAAGTGAACTCGAGCGCACCCGACACCATAACACTAAAAAATGAATGTTTTGGAGGGATTTCAAAGGTTTCTGATGGAGATGAAGTGGGTTGAACCCAGAAGCCATTTCGTTGCAGTCACATGAAGCCATTTCTCGCTGCAGTTTGGCGCACTGTAATGTGTAACATCTGTGTTTTGGGGGATGAAACGCTTGATAAACTCACCTGTGCGCGCCAGTCACAGTCGCTGTAACACACACAGAGAGTTGAAATGCAGCTCAGAGTCTCTTTACATCAAATAAAGCTGAACACATGGAGCGCTGTGGGGGCTGGGACAGGGAAGTGTGCGACTGCATGCCTGATATTTCATTAACAACATTAAAGCTGTGGCTTTTAGACAAGGATGTTATCTTTAGACATTTTACATATAAACTCATTTTTGCCTGTATTTATTTTCATTGCATAAGAAAAATAATTTGGAGTGCAAATGTTTGATATTATGAAGCACGGCATTTTACCTTGTTTTTCTTGTAGAATAATGTAATCACAGGTATCTTTTTTTCATTGGATATGACTTTTATAATGCTGATTTTTTTGAAGTATCTAATTTTATTAGAATTTTCTAATTTTATTATATATATTATATGGTATGTTATTTTAAAAGTACTGCCATTGCAGAAAAATGTCAGGTACGTTTAAGTGTATTTTAAGTAAACACAAAATCAATAATGGCCTATTTACTTTTTTTAAACTCACTTCTGGTCTTATTGTGCATTTTCCATCAGTGCATATTAATTACTGCAATGAATATATTTGGCTTTTTAAATCAGAATTCAAGTTTCTCTTAAAGGGGTCATATGATGCGATTTCAAGTTTTCCTTTCTCTTTGGAGTGTTACAAGCTGATTGTGCATAGATAAGATCCCTGAAGTTGCAAAGACTAAAGTCTCAAAACAAAAAGAGATATTCTTTATCAAAGTTAAGACTCTGCCACGCCGGCCGTGTAAGCTATTGGACAATGCTAACCAGTAACAAATACCTATTTAGGCATTGAAGCACTTCTTTTTGTGCTACAGATCTTTGTTTTAACAATTCACAGGGAGAAAAAATGGGTGACGGTTGGAGACACTTCACTGCGTATCTTCAAATGGGTTCCAGTGACTGAACCAAAGTCAGATGATGTAAGTGTGTGACAATTGTGCATTATTTTCTTTTTGTTAAGTTGTAGTTCATTGATATTCTGTCTTGACATGTTTTCTGCTGAACAGAAGAACAAAAAGAAGAAGGGCAGAGAGGAGAAATATGGATCGGAGGTGACGACTCCAGAGAACAGTTCCTCTCCGGGAATGATGGACATGCATGGTCAGTCTCTTAACCATGCCAAGATTCTAAGTCTGTGCATAATGTAATTTGACATTATTGACTCTTAAATGGCAAGCTGTGGTTTCCCTTATAGATGAGAACAGTAATCAGAGCTCAGTAGCTGATTCCTCTCCGGTGAAGATGGAGAACAGCTGTAGCACGAGCCCGACACCAGAGGCCACTGCTGCTGCTCACACTGATGGAAACAAATGCAAGGCAGAACATACGCCATCCCCTGACAAAGGTACGAAAAGCCACTCTGATCACATGAATAAATTTCATGCTTACACAAATGAAATTCTGGAAGGAATAGCTCGAAGATGAGTTTGTTTCTTCATCAGAACAGATTTGGAGAAATGTAGCATTACATCTCTTGCTCACCAATGGATCCTCTGCAGTGAATGGGTGCCGTCAGAATGAGAGTCCAAACAGCTGATAAAAGCCTCACAAGTAACCCACACCACTCTAGTCCATCAATTAACATATTGTGAAGTGAAAAGCTGCATGTTTGCATATTTCTCTCCTGAATCAGACCAGATTACTTTATCACTGGAGAAAGCGATTTTTATGAATAGAGGATGGAAGCAACGGTTTGAAGTTAAAAATGTCTTAATGATGGATTAATTTCTTACAAGCACACAGCTTGTTGCTTATTTGCACACAAGCACACAGATTGATGTTAATTGATGGACTGGAGTGGTGTGGATTATTGTGATGTTTTTAATCAGGTGTTTGGACTCTCATTCTGACGGCACCCATTCACTGCAGAGGATCCACTGGTGAGACAGTGATGTAATGCTACATTTCTCCAGATCTGTTCAGATGAAGGAACAAACATATCTACATCTTGGATGGCCTGAGGGTGAGTCCATTTTTATAGAGATGGTATTCAAAACATTGCATCCGAGATCTTCCAGCTGAAAGAAATGTGATGCATCACAATTGGATGAATCAGTGTGGTGTATTTTTTACAGGGAATAGTAACTCTACCCCTTCAGAGACGTCAACAACCAAAAAAGATACTCTGTTATCAGGGGAGAAGGAGTCCTCATCAGACACCTCGACAAACACTCAGGTAAAAGCATCAATTACCTTCAAATCAGAAGAAAATAATCAAAGCTGGGAATGACTTGAGGGTGAGAAAATGTTTTGCTTTTTGTGTTTTATTAGGAAAGTGAGGATGGTTCCCCACCCACAAAGAAAAGTAGAGTGGAATCATCTTCTCAGGACTTAGATAACTAAAGCTGACTAGTTTGCTCCCATGTTTCAAACGTCACTGTCACAAACCAATGAGGAAACACAACCCACTTAACAATCCATTCCTGATCTTTAAGTACAGCTTCACCCTGTTCTTCATCTTCTCACCTGGAGCGAACATTGTCGCTGTGCCAGTGAACCGAGGCCGACGACGAACACTGACCTGATCCTGTGAGAAACCTGCAGCCTCGCTCCATTCAACTCATGCACGATATACAGCGTTAGTTTAACAGTAATGAGAGTGAATGCACTGCATAGATTTGTCAAGATAAAAGATGGATTTGCTGCTGTGATCATCTTTGTTTTAAGTCTTCTATTATTTAATTTAATGACTCTACTAGTTGTTTTTCTAACTATTTTGCAGGTTGTTGTATGGTTATAGTGCTGGTGTTTGGTTTGTTCATAGATTCTCTACTGGTTAGTGTGCCTTCTGGCTCCATGATGTGTGATTTAATTTTTTTTGTGGCTTTTGTTTTTTTTTTAAAGCTTTTCAAAGCATCACTGCTTTTTAAGGGGATGAAGAATGTTTTGTTACATGTCAAAATGAATCCAATATATACCTCATTTCCAAACCAGCTGAGCTGGAACTTAATTCTTGATTGATGGATAAATCATATTCACTGAACACAATCTGGCAGTTTTTAAATTATGTCATTTTAAACAATAAATCCATTCTCACTTCAATCTGATGTAGCAACGTTCAAGGAACATACAATGAAATACTCTATAGATACATTGGGACCATGTTTTCTTGAAATGAATTTGTTTTGTACAGTTTATTAATTTTGGTTTTTATTTATTTCACCATTAGTGCTTATTTTTAGCATATTCAAATTGTTTTAATAAAAAATGTTAACTGAATTGATTACTAGCCTATTTTTTTTATGACTATTTAGATCATGCCTGTTTTTAAGTATTTTTATGGGGGTTTTTTTCAATTCAAGATTAATAGCCCAGCTTACACAACGTTTTGTTTTGGAAAGGCTAAGATTGTTTTATTCATATTCATTATATACGACGACGGACGTATTTTCATATATTTTTCGATGTTGCAAAAACGTTATAGACGCTTTACCGCGTTACCTTATACTTACATTGTCCAGAAACGTTTCTGATACGAACATAATTGAAAGCGTTTACCAAAAACATGAGTATTAGAAAGCAAAAGAGAGGGACAGAGATCAAATAAGACTTTTTCACCACAATTCGTTGTTCAGAATTGAAATTACATCGAGACTGTACTGTATATGATTCTGCATCAACCATCACTTTACCTGATGTTATAACATGACTCTTATATGACTTTCGTTAACTTTTTAAGAGTTTGTTGATGTAATTCGTCGTGAAGTATCTTACCTCAGATCTGGCGTTCTGTCAAACTTCCTGTTCGCGCGCTTTTAGGTTTTTGACTGCCATTCACAAAATGAAATCAGAATTATAATTTATATAATAAACTTTTGTCTGTCATGGTAAATTGCCCTTTTTTATATTAATGATGGATTAATTTCTTACAAGCACACAGCTTGTTGCTTATTTGCACACAAGCACACAGCTTGATGTTAATTGATGGACTGGAGTGGTGTGGATTATTGTGATGTTTTTAATCAGCTGTTTGGACTCTCATTCTGACGGCACCCATTCACTGCAGAGGATCCACTGGTGAGACAGTGATGTAATGCTACATTTCTCCAGATCTGTTCAGATGAAGGAACAAACATATCTACATCTTGGATGGCCTGAGGGTGAGTCCATTTTTATAGAGATGGTATTCAAAACATTGCATCCGAGATCTTCCAGCTGAAAGAAATGTGATGCATCACAATTGGATGAATCAGTGTGGTGTATTTTTTACAGGGAATAGTAACTCTACCCCTTCAGAGACGTCAACAACCAAAAAAGATACTCTGTTATCAGGGGAGAAGGAGTCCTCATCAGACACCTCGACAAACACTCAGGTAAAAGCATCAATTACCTTCAAATCAGAAGAAAATAATCAAAGCTGGGAATGACTTGAGGGTGAGAAAATGTTTTGCTTTTTGTGTTTTATTAGGAAAGTGAGGATGGTTCCCCACCCACAAAGAAAAGTAGAGTGGAATCATCTTCTCAGGACTTAGATAACTAAAGCTGACTAGTTTGCTCCCATGTTTCAAACGTCACTGTCACAAACCAATGAGGAAACACAACCCACTTAACAATCCATTCCTGATCTTTAAGTACAGCTTCACCCTGTTCTTCATCTTCTCACCTGGAGCGAACATTGTCGCTGTGCCAGTGAACCGAGGCCGACGACGAACACTGACCTGATCCTGTGAGAAACCTGCAGCCTCGCTCCATTCAACTCATGCACGATATACAGCGTTAGTTTAACAGTGATGAGAGTGAATGCACTGCATAGATTTGTCAAGATAAAAGATGGATTTGCTGCTGTGATCATCTTTGTTTTAAGTCTTCTATTATTTAATTTAATGACTCTACTAGTTGTTTTTCTAACTATTTTGCAGGTTGTTGTATGGTTATAGTGCTGGTGTTTGGTTTGTTCATAGATTCTCTACTGGTTAGTGTGCCTTCTGGCTCCATGATGTGTGATTTAATTTTTTTTGTGGCTTTTGTTTTTTTTTAAAGCTTTTCAAAGCATCACTGCTTTTTAAGGGGATGAAGAATGTTTTGTTACATGTCAAAATGAATCCAATATATACCTCATTTCCAAACCAGCTGAGCTGGAACTTAATTCTTGATTGATGGATAAATCATATTCACTGAACACAATCTGGCAGTTTTTAAATTATGTCATTTTAAACAATAAATCCATTCTCACTTCAATCTGATGTAGCAACGTTCAAGGAACATACAATGAAATACTCTATAGATACATTGGGACCATGTTTTCTTGAAATGAATTTGTTTTGTACAGTTTATTAATTTTGGTTTTTATTTATTTCACCATTAGTGCTTATTTTTAGCATATTCAAATTGTTTTAATAAAAAATGTTAACTGAATTGATTACTAGCCTATTTTTTTTATGACTATTTAGATCATGCCTGTTTTTAAGTATTTCTATGGGGGGTTTTTTCAATTCAAGATTAATAGCCCAGCTTACACAACGTTTTGTTTTGGAAAGGCTAAGATTGTTTTATTCATATTCATTATATACGACGACGGACGTATTTTCATATATTTTTCGATGTTGCAAAAACGTTATAGACGCTTTACCGCGTTACCTTATACTTACATTGTCCAGAAACGTTTCTGATACGAACATAATTGAAAGCGTTTACCAAAAACATGAGTATTAGAAAGCAAAAGAGAGGGACAGAGATCAAATAAGACTTTTTCACCACAATTCGTTGTTCAGAATTGAAATTACATCGAGACTGTACTGTATATGATTCTGCATCAACCATCACTTTACCTGATGTTATAACATGACTCTTATATGACTTTCGTTAACTTTTTAAGAGTTTGTTGATGTAATTCGTCGTGAAGTATCTTACCTCAGATCTGGCGTTCTGTCAAACTTCCTGTTCGCGCGCTTTTAGGTTTTTGACTGCCATTCACAAAATGAAATCAGAATTATAATTTATATAATAAACTTTTGGCTGTCATGGTAAATTGCCCTTTTTTATATATATATATATAAGAGACATTGTTCAAACAATATAATGTCATTTGTATTTTGGTCATAAACATACACTAATTATCCTAATTAGGTTAGCAAAAAGCGTCACATTCACATCTATTTTACATAGATACTATTTTTGTTATTATTTTATGTGGGGTTCAGATTTGTCATATCAGGCTGCATTTTTAAGGGACATTAATTATTGACTAGGCCCCTTCTGTTCTATTTAGGAGCTGGAGGACCTTGTGATGGGATCTGTTGACCGTCCTTGCATAAAATTGAGACTATGAGGGCAGCTTTTCAAACTTTGGCCATAAGCGCAGTTATAAAACTTTGAGGTATAAATTTAGATGAAAGATTTGTTAATATTACATCAACAATAAGAGATACAATATGATCTTAAAAATTGTGCTTTAGTAAAGGTCTGTTCACACCAAGTTTGAGGTGACTAAAATACATGGAATTTTAAAATATGTGGAAACCCTTTTTTGCACCAAAACTATTCTGCACTGTATTTTGTTGCAAAATTTTCTTCATCCTCTAAAAAAAATTCTGGATACCTGAAGTAACTGTTCTGTATTTTAAATAAATCTTGAATTTGTACACAAAAAATGTTTAATCTTAAAATCTTGCCGTGCATTTATTTTGTGCCGAAAATTCGGACTTGGTGTGAACAGGCCTGAAATCTACAGGACATACCATCAAAATACACATAAAAAGCCATTCATATGACAATATTATAACTATATGTCTGACATTTAACAGTAAAAATAATAACTTACTTCCAAACAATAGCAGTTAAACTCATGTGCTGTATACATTTAAAGTGAGAAGTGCAATAAGTTAATAGTGGTTAGCTTCAGCTTTGTTTGGTGCACTTGTTGTACTGTTTTACAGTCCGTTACGAGTTCTTCTCATGCAGGAAAACATGGCAGAATTTAGAAGTTTACACATATGATATCCTCAAACCATTACCAAATATGGAGCAGAAGAGTTTTACCTGTCCCTCAGCAAACTCTTTCTCTTCTCTCAGTTGGTCTATAGCAGCATCACCTACAGATGAGACAAATGTTGAAATGTTGGAATTGCATATAAGTTAAGGAAGATTTGTTAAAAATTTACGTTGGGTTTTTTTTTTTTAGATTCATTTTTCATACTGCAAATGGAAATAAAAATAGTAGTACTACTCGTATTACTCATACTACTTCCATTTCCAGTGTAACAAATTAATTAAAAGAAAAAGCAACTTTAATATTTTTACATAAAATTGGATTAAAAATAGAAAGAAAAACATTTTTATTCTGAGATAATAACTGGATGGCATTCCCTGAATTAATCATGCAAAATCATTGATCAAATAATGGCAGGCTTGGCGAACAGAAGAGACCTTTTCAAAATATTACAAAAACATAACCTAAACTTTTAAATAATAGTGTGAATTAAAGTAGCTGGCAATATACAGTATATTGCACAGAATGCAACATGCTGTCATTCCATTCCAAATATAAATACGCTGACAGACCTGAAGTGACTTCCTCTCTGTTCCTCGTCTGCCGGCCCTCCAGCTTTTGCTCCAGGCTGTTCACTCGGCTGTGCAGCTGGGCTTTGTCCCTCTCTAGAGACGTCACGGCCGACTGGAGCGTCTTGGCCATGGCATTTTCCACACGAAGCACTGCAATCTGTAATGACAAATTATTTTTTTCATATTAAGTGAAACATTTCATATTGTAACTCCAACAACACGGAGTACAAAGTTTTATATAAAAAGAAAGAATAGGAACACTGCTGTAGACAACAGGGTTTTCATATGAAATTAATCTACATTCTTTTTACTTAAGACAAATTTTGTCATAGTCCATAATGCATAAAACATACTTTGAAGAATGATCCAGAAGTTTAGATAGACTTTTGAAACCCAAGAGTCAAAGTTCTTACCTCATTGTGTAGTGTCTCTAGTTCTTTGTCTTTATCGGACAGCACTGCATTGGAGTTCTCCCTGTGAGGACAGAAGAGCTCACTCTAGCTGGTTGGATTTAGTCATGTTACAAAAGCCATATGCACTCTGAGAACATGCATAATACCATATTAAAAGCTTACAGAAAAACATGAAAAAAATGAACAGACATCCAGTGGGACTGCAGTGTTTTTAGGGTGGAGGAAAACAATAGATCTGAAGTCAAAAGCTTTTTTATTTAACTAAACAGCAGTCATGGAAACAGAACATCTCTCTAGATGTGGTAATCTTGGTGCATTATAAAACACTGATCTGTAAAGAACGTGTACTGACAAGCTTTTTTAAAGCCTCCAGAGTGCATGTGATCTCAAATCCAGCTCTCATTTGAACAATTACTAAGACAGAGCTCCATTATCACCATCAAAAGCGTCTGTGACATGCTGTTTATAACCACAAGTAATAAATTCGGTTTTTGAAAGCTTGTGAAGAAATTTAAATGAAGAGTTCATCCAAAAATGAACATTTGCTGACAATGTATTCACCCTCAGGTCATCCAAGATGTAGATGAGTTTGTTTCTTCATTGTAACAGATTTGGAGAAGTTTAGCATTACAGCACTTGCTCACCAATGGATCCTCTACAGTGAATGGGAGAAGACAACAGGAGAGGGACTTTTTCCACTGGAGGAAGCGTTATTATGGATTATGGAGTATTTTGGCCAGAAGCAAACACCTTAATGTTGGAATTGTTTATTGCAATCATGCAGCTTTTCACTTCACAAGACATTAACTGATGGACTGGAGTGGTGTGGATTATTGTGAGATTATTATCAGCTGTTTGGACCCTCACGGCACCCATTCACTGCAGAGGTGAGCAAGTGATGTAATGCTAAATTTCTTCAAATCTGTTCTGATGAATAAACAAACATCTACAGGGGCAGTTGTGGCCTAATGGTTAGAGAGTTGGACTTGTAACCCGAAGGTCACGGGTTTGAGTCTCGGTACCTGCAGGGAAAGTACTATGGGGAGTGAATGACTGGCGCTCTCTTCCACTTTCAATAACCACGACTGAGGTGAGACCCTTGAGCAAGGCATTGAACCCCCAACTACTGCCCGGGGTGTGTGCTCACGGAGTGTGTGTGTGTGCACTTGGATGGGTTAAATGCAAAGCACAAATTCTGAGTATGGGACACCATACTTGGCCACACGTCACTTTCACTTTACATCTTGGATGGCCTGAGGGTGAGTAAGCTTTAAATTTTTGCTTTTAAACCAATTTTTCCAATAGGCATCCACTTTAAGATTTCTATCTTGATTTGATTGAATGAACTTAATACTGAGTCAAGACATGCGCTTACCTCTCTGTAATCTCCAGCTGGCTAGTCAGAGATTCGCTGCCAAGCTGCCAAAAAAAAAAACATGATACATGATAACTCAATCCCTCAAACTGATGGAGAACGTCACAGAGCAACACATTTCAGAAGAGCTGACAGGAAACGTCCAAGGAAAGACACAGACAGATAAACACCTTCTGCTGCGTGTGGATGTCCAACTCCTGGGCCAATGTCAATTTCTCGACCTGGAGCAACACCTGCCTCTGAGACTTCTGATTGGCTGACAGTTTTAGCTCCTCACTACACAGAGAGAGAGATAAGGAGGGAGTTAATGCCCATACTATCATGTAGGACTAGCATATATGTTTCTTGAGCAGCAAATCAGCATATTACAATGATTTTTGTAGGATCATGTGACACTGAAGACTGGAGTAATGATGCTGAAAATTCAGCTTTGCATCACAGGAATAAATTACATTTTAAAATATATTCAAACAGAAAACATTTATTTAAAATTGTAATAATATTCACAATATTTTAGTTTTTACTGTATTTTTGATCAAATAAATGCAGCCTTGGTGAGCAAAAAAAAAACCTTCGGACAGGTCACCATCCTCCTCCTTATGTGTAACGAATGAGCCAATCTATTTTTACCCAGAGTGCATCATAATGCAGGAATAAATCAAATCATGCACGCTCAAAACTCAAGCGGAAAATCAAGGTGAAGTCTCCAAATTGTAAGAACAAATGCACTACTGGCTAAAAGAATATGTTGTGTTTAATAAAGCATTACATATTTTTTCCATAAAGAATACCAAAAAATATATAATATTATAAGCTACACCACGATGCATATTTATGAGTGTCAGAAGATCAACAGAGTGTTATGAAAGGAACTCCGTCGGATCTCACATGGAGTCGAGACCATTAGACAGGCGGAAAACAGCAGCTGTAGCTGGAAAGACAGAGTTACGTAAAACTCCCTGGAGGAGAGACGCTCACTTCTGAAACGTTCAGCTACGAATATCTTCAGCGCAAGAGCTCAAAAGAGGATGCACGGAGGAACCTGCCCGCATCACTGGAGCCGTCACTCGCTGGACATGCCGATCAACTGCGGCTTGAAGGAGTGCGTCTAATCAGCTTGAGTTATGAAGGCTTCGAGCTTCGGTTTGTGGCGCTTTATTTTAAAGTCAACATGAATTCAAAATGGACCCCATTTACACCACCAGAAGTGTTCCTTGAGATTGTAAAAGCATTTTGAGCTAAAGGTTTCTGCTTAAACGCTTAAAATTAATTTAGCAAATGCAGATATATTGCAAAATAAACTGTCTAAATAAACTGTTTAAATATGAAAAGTGAAACAATTTAATTAGGAATTTTTGGATTTAAAAAAAAAAACAAATTATATATTTTCATTGGGGGTCACCAAACCTCTCATTTTTCAATTCCCGGTGTATAAAATCAGGTTCTACCCTATATTATTTTCACAGAGAAAAAAAATGCGTCATGGTACTCTCGTGAATGAGCATCGACTGACACAGAAGAGAGAAATCGTTGAATAAAGTCATTATTTTTGTTTTCTTTGCGCACAAAAAGTATTCTCATAGCTTCATAGAATTGCGGTTGAACCACTGATGTCACCATGGACTATTTTAACAATGTCCTTACTAAGTTTCTGTGCCTTGAACGTGGTAGTTCCCTTGCTGTCTATGCAGGGTCAGAAAGCTGTCGGATTTCATCAAAAATATCTTAATTTGTGTTTCGAAGATGAACAAAGGTCTTATGGGGTTTGGAACAACATGAGGGAGTGTAATTAATGACAGAATTTTAATTTTTGGGTGAACTATCCCTTTAAATATGAAAAGTGAAACAAAGTATTTATCTCTTCAGCGAGTGTTACCAAACCCTCTTATTTTTTAAACACTTTCATATAGAGGCACTCTTCACCATCCAATCAATTACTGACGGTCAAATTAGGTTCTGCCCTACATTTTTTCTTATTGATTATCGTGAATGGGAAATGCAGCAAGCCAGATTCAAACTCTTATTGCATACGAGCACAACCGCTCAATGTGTCAGACCGTGCATTGTTATTCAGAAATTGAGCTAAATGTTTCTGCTTAAATGCTCAAAATTAATTTTGCAAACATTAAAAACATTTTAAATTAAATAATTAAATCGCTAAATAAATATGAAAAGTGAAAATCATTAAATCTTTTTAATTGCAATTTTTGGAATTTATTTATTTATTTATTTTAAGTATTTTTTCAGCGGGTGTCACCAAACCCTCTTATTTTTCAAAAACTTCATCCAGTCAATTCCTGATGTATAAAATCAGGTTCTGCCCTACATTTTTTTCTTATTGATTATCCTGAATGTAAAATGCTGCGAGCCACGAGCACAACAGCTCAATATTTCAGAACATGCACATTACGCCTGTTGTTATTCAATAAAATAAAAGCTGTTGTGACCATGTGGACATGTGATGTCATTCTGTGACTCACAGATCTAATTATACCACCACAATGACGCCAACATGGTACTTAACCAACTAATTAAGATCAAAATACTTTATAGCTCCAACAAAGCAGGCAATTAATGTGATAAGATGCAGTTGAAAGACGTTAAATGGCGCTTATTTGTTGCAGCTGTTGTTCAGTGGTCAGCAAACGTTAACTAATACATTTTAAGCTGGATCATGTCATTTCCTCTCCTCCCTATTATTTCCAGTCCTCTCACTACTATCACTATAGATGAAAGTGTCAAAAAGTCCTAAATAAATAATGAAAGAGTCAATGAAGTGAAAATGCATGGGTGCACGTCAGCAGGAGACTCACATTTCTTTGCGGAGGCTGTCGATGTTCTGCGTTTCTGAACTCAACTGTTCCTGATACTGAGAGTTCTGCTGCTTCAGGGTCTCAAGCTGGTGGACGAAATAAAAGAGAAATAAATCAAGTGAAAGAAGGAGGTTTAGAAAAACATTACATGGTTTTGGACGAAATGTATTGGGGTGAATGTCATGTGACCTTTCAACAACATGTATTTTGCATAAAGAAAATCACACATATTTAAGGACAATCGTGTCTTTTTGTGCGTTCTTAAATTATTTTAATGATAAATAAAGCACACATTGCTTCAAATTCTCATCATTACCCTAAAAAAAAATCAAATTTTCATAACTGCAAAGTGAAAAAAATATAATTACTGTAAAAATGTTATTCATTTATAATATTATTAAATAATATTTATGCTCATTTACGCAAAATATCTTTATTACAGTATTTTTTTTAATGTAAAATATTCAAACAAACAAACAAACAATAAATAAATATGAATATTAGATTAAAAACTTACATTAAAAGTAGAAATTTACTAATTGGAATAAAATGTTTAATTTGAAGTACTAAAATTACTTAATAAAATAATTAGCAAATTAATAAAAATTAAAGCTAAATAGAAACAATTAAAAAAATAACAAACATTACAACCCTCTACGGACACCTTGGCAATTGAATCGCCATTGGCTAGTAAATGTATAATGTTTATTTATATATATATATATATGTTTTAATAATAATAATACTTTCAAATTCTACTAATAAGAACAATCAATAATGCACTAAGGATTAAGGAATTTTAACTTAATAATTAAGTTAATTTCTGACACTGGCCAAAATTCGAAATCAATACATCGGGAGAAAAAACAACAACAACAATAACAAACAGTGCTCACATTAAACCTCCAATCTAGAATTATACATGCTTCAAATGTAATCAGGCACCAAAACATGCATGATATAAAATTAATTTAAATGGGGAAAAAATAAGCCCTTATATTATCCAGTTTCAATATCATCCTAACCCGATTCCAATATTT